GGGGACTACATTGTCTGCCAAGAGAAAAGGAGTTGTTTGAAGGTGAGGAATTTGAGGAGACAGGTAAATATTTCACATGACTACTGAGCAAAATGGGAAAGAAAGCCAAGTCGGGGAAATGGATGGGTTATTGGGCAGCACATGTCTTGCCATGGATGACCAACTCATGGCTAGGTGATGTTTCCTATCAGTGCTCACTAGCCTGAATACCCTAAGAGAAAAAAATAGTAAGGATCTGGGGACCAGAGGACTTGAGGACAGGGAAACAGAGATGATGTTCACAATGTGAAGGAAAAGGAGTTAGGTTAGGTCATAAGGAGGATGGTAAAGACAGATGGGCATAAACTGGGCAAGAGGGAGGTCTTGCAAGCTAAGGTTAGGTGTCGTGAGGGAGTGAATGAACTCAAAAGGCAGGTAGGTATGCTGATCAAGGAATGCACTGCTCTGCAGTTGAAGGTTTCACAGGTGGAACAGTCTTTGGCCTAAAAAAAAGTCCAGGGTGTGGATACTGGGTGGGAGCTGGTTGATCTTTATCAGGGCCTTAATGGTTCCTCAGAAGTAAGGGTTATGTCCACATGCAACTTTATATTCATCTATCAAGTGCTGGGTATACTAGGGATGATAAATTAGATATATTGTTCTGTCTTCCCTATGCCAGATCCAATTCATTTTGTAGCTGCCTTGAAAAAGAACCAAGAATTCTATAACATTTCCTTTTTGTTGTTGTTGTTTGTTTGTTTTTTAGTTTTGCTATAGGATGTGGGCACTTGCCAGGGTAGGGATGGGGAGTGAGAAATCACCCCTCCTCCAACCCAGGGGAGATAGCCACACCACACTGCAATCCTTTCTCCTCTGTTTTCCCTTCAGGATTTTGGGTATACACACACACTTGCCCAGCATGATTTTCAAGCTGCTGGATCTGGGACTTGAACTTTGATCGGCCATGTGGGAATCCAGCACCTTAACCACCACACTACATGCTGGCCCAACTAGTTACACTTTTCTAATAGTCATTAAGATAAATACACAATTATTAAAAAAATTATACCTAGGTACCACTAACACCTATTTCATATACCATCATTAGGAAAACACTGAACTAAAAGATGCTGACATTCCCTTACAGTTCTAACAGTCTTACTGTCTCAGTCATTGATTTAGGTTATGAGTCTTAAGCAAGTGACCACAGGCAAATTTTTAAAAGAACAATGACATCTGAATCCTCACATGTAGCATCATAACTTGTACATTTATTTTACTTTCAAATTTGCCTTTATTTTTGCTTTCCACCTTTCCCATTTTATTCGGTTAGAAGGATAGAAATTTATGTTTGGCTCTAATGAAAAACAAAAGCACAACTAGAAGAAATGGGAACATTGAGACTTGACACACAGCATAGAGTGGAAAGACGCCCTGTAGGATGCAAGATCAGGAGAGAGCTTAACACTGGAAAGATGGTCAACTCAGCACCGCCCAGCAAAGTCAGTTGGGAAGGTACAGCATAGTCAGACCTCAGAGAGAGCAGAGGAAGAGTGTAAGAGCCCTTTGCAATGGAATGTCTGTGGGCAATACGCGAATGTACACTTATTCTTACTGCGTCTGGGTTACAGTCACTCCACTTCTGTAGTTTCAGACTAAGATTCAGTAGTTGCCTGTGTGTCTTTTTGTGTGGTTGTAGGTTTCGATAGACTGAGTCATCGAAACACTAGTCATCGAAACACTATGTACACTCTACATAGTCAGAGTGTAGCACTGATAAATAATCAGGTCCATGAAGGCTGATGTCTTCCTGTAATGAGGGCTTTTCTAAGAAACTAGAACTCAGGGAGGCCCCAGAGGACCTTGGAAGTTTGAGTTTTTTAAAAACTCTATTTTCCTTTGTGACAATTGCTAATTGTCAATTGCTAATTGCTAAGTTTAGAAGAGGTTATGGAGGGAGAGAGGACCATTACGATCTAGGAGTTGCAGGTGGGTGAGTTCCACACCTGCTTTTCCAGTGTTTTTACTGAAGTAAAATCAGGTCAGATGAGAATAACTGAGGCAACTTCGAAATACAGAAGTGTATCAGAGGCTATCTGGACGGGTATGTGGAAACGGGAGTGTTACAGTAACACCCACTTGGCCTGCTCTAATGTAGGAGTTGGAGGTCTTTCATGGCACCATAGCAGTCCAAATGTTTGGCTGTTTAGTAGGCATGGCTATTAAAACCCAGGACTTTCTTTTCTTTTAATCATTTCCCCCCTGTATTCATGATAGAGCACATGTACATGGACATGAGAGAGAGCATGCCCCAAGAGACCTGCTCATGCTGTAGTTCTTCTTCCTTTAATTTTCCAGAGCTGAAATTCAAACCAATCCAGGGTTTCTAATCATGTTTGAAGCAGAGGGGTGGAATCTGAGTCTACGTATTCATTAATTTTTTCCATGTTTTGGTGACCCATGAGAAATAGTTTCTCAAGTCTTTTATATGCTACTAGATAAACATACTACATGCTAGCTCTTAAATTACCTTTCAGGAGAGACCATTTTAACATTAAATCTTGGCTTTATATGCAGTGGTAATCTCATATTTCCAAACCCTGATCAATTTAAAATTGGTCTGGCATAAACATATAGTTGCGTAGAGAATGTGCTTAATTCTATTTCAGGCAAATGGAGATTTTTCTATTGGTAATATGATTTCATTGTTATCTTTTCCCCAGATGATTGCTGTAAGGATTGAGGTCAATAATACTTGAATAGGCCTTATTCTTGCATTTAACAAGCAGTGCCAATACAATATTAACATTTTTTACTCGTGCTGACATTAAACTTTTTAAAGTTTTAAAACTGCAACTTCAACTCAGAGATTACAAGATTAAATTTTGCTTTTTTAAAGAAATGTTACCATAAACAAAGCCCACTTTGTAATCAGAATCCTCTTTTTTCTTTTTTTCCTGCATAAAGCAGCATAGAACAATGGTCAGTTATAGATACATGGATTCCAGGAAGTTAAACAAATAAGAATTTGTCATGTACTAAAGTAGGTTATGTAAATTTTAAATAAAGAAAAACATCAAAATAAGAGGAGCAAAAAGAATTTTTTTCCTTTTTTTGCATTGCACTGCTTGAACTAATATAACAAAATCTCCTAAATCAAAATTTTAAAATAATTTATTTAAACTCTTTTTTCTTAAAGAATTATTTTTTTAACTTTATTATTATTTTCCAATTTGACCAGAGAGAGACAGGGAAAGTGAGAAAGGAAGCCACCAGGTCAGGAACTCGGACCATGGTTGGCCTTGTGGGAGTCCAGTGCCTTCAACTACCACGCCACCTGCTGGCCCCCGTTTAAATTCTTTTAAAAATGATTGTCCCCTTGTAAACACAAGGCGTCAATGAAAACAAAAACAAAACACACTCTTGCTTCTTCAAACTTTTCTTGCTGAAAATAATTTTAAATTTATCAGCAGTAATTATAATCACCTAGGTGGTGAGTGCCTGGGGCTGTCTTCTACTTTCATGATCACTGCCCTGTATCCTATCTACCAGAAGAGATTGTCAAGAATACCGTATGCTCTGACTTCAAGACACAGTCTGGGCCAAAGTTGCTTTTACTGGAAGTTTCAATGCTCTCATTTTCCTTGAGACAAATGTCTTTTAATTCACAAGCTCCACCACCACTCTCACCCCCAGATAAAATGAGACTTCTGCTTAGTCGAAGGACAGTCTTATAAAGGTCCTGTACCACTTCTTATTAAACGGCTTTCTGGCCACTACTTGCACCCTCTTAATATAAAGCTTAAAATTGAAAGTAGGAAAAAAAAAACTGAACATGCAAAGGAAAAAGCTTAGTTTTATGCAATAACAAGCAGTGCCAATACAATATTAACATTTTTTACTCGTGCTGACATTAAACTTTTTAAAGTTTTAAAACTGCAACTTCAACTCAGAGATTACAAGATTAAATTTTGCTTTTTTAAAGAAATGTTACCATAAACAAAGCCCACTTTGTAATCAGAATCCTATTTTTTCTTTTCTTCCTGCATAAAGCAGCATAGAACAATGGTCAGTTATAGATACATGGATTCCAGGAAGTTAAACAAATAAGAATTTGTCATGTACTAAAGTAGGTTATGTAAATTTTAAATAAAGAAAAACATCAAAATAAGAGGAGCAAAAAGAATTTTTTTCCTTTTTTTGCATTGCACTGCTTGAACTAATATAACAAAATCTCCTAAATCAAAATTTTAAAATAATTTATTTAAACTCTTTTTTCTTAAAGAATTATTTTTTTAACTTTATTATTATTTTCCAATTTGACCAGAGAGAGACAGGGAAAGTGAGAAAGGAAGCCACCAGGTCAGGAACTCGGACCATGGTTGGCCTTGTGGGAGTCCAGTGCCTTCAACTACCACGCCACCTGCTGGCCCCCGTTTAAATTCTTTTAAAAATGATTGTCCCCTTGTAAACACAAGGCGTCAATGAAAACAAAAACAAAACACACTCTTGCTTCTTCAAACTTTTCTTGCTGAAAATAATTTTAAATTTATCAGCAGTAATTATAATCACCTAGGTGGTGAGTGCCTGGGGCTGTCTTCTACTTTCATGATCACTGCCCTGTATCCTATCTACCAGAAGAGAGATTGTCAAGAATACTGTATGCTCTGACTTCAAGACACAGTCTGGGCCAAAGTTGCTTTTACTGGAAGTTTCAATGCTCTCATTTTCCTTGAGACAAATGTCTTTTAATTCACAAGCTCCACCACCACTCTCACCCCCAGATAAAATGAGACTTCTGCTTAGTCGAAGGACAGTCTTATAAAGGTCCTGTACCACTTCTTATTAAACGGCTTTCTGGCCACTACTTGCACCCTCTTAATATAAAGCTTAAAATTGAAAGTAGGAAAAAAAAAACTGAACATGCAAAGGAAAAAGCTTAGTTTTATGCAAAACATGCAACCTTATATAAGAACTGGGTAAGTGGATGGTCTGCATTTGAAGTCATTTCACTTATGTATTTGGGGGCTGACAACTATTGGTTGCACAGAATTTAACGATGATAGTTTCGCACTCTGTCAGACTTGGCCCGTTGCCTTTTACTTCTCGGCAATATCTGATCTTGTTCCCTCATGATCTGTGAGAACTGAGTTCCACCCCCACCTTTCGACGCAGGCTATTTTGTCCGGGAGTCAGGACTTCCCTCATAGGATCAAAGGGCTCAGCCATTGACTAGGGGGTGGAGGGAAAGCGGGGTCGACGGTCCGATCAGAGGGGCTCCCCAGACCTCATTCCTCGCTGCAGCTCTTCGGATTTTAAAGTCAGGGTAAGAGAGATGAGGAGGGACCAGAAGGACGGAGACAGAGCTGGAAACAAAGGTGAGCGACTATGCGCTGGGGAGGACGCAGGATGGGGAGACCGGCAGTGGGAGGCTCCTCGGCCCCCAGTCGGGTGGCGTGACTTCAGAAGGACTCTAAAAACCGGCCAGGACTGGGTAGGACGCAAAGGTCCGGGCTGGGGACGGCAAACCGGCTCCGGGCAGGAGGGGCGAGGCTGGGCACGCCCCCCGTCAGGCCCCGCCCCTGGCAGGG